CTGTGACAGTGAGAATAATGACTACGAATCGCCACCAAACCAACAAACCTGGAATTTTTTTCTCAGAAGAAATAAAAAAAAAAAAGAGAAAGAGGCGACTGTTTTCTTTTCTCACACTGTGTGACATCACCTCCACTAATGGCAGGAAGATAAAACATTTTGAATGCTCTTCTTATGTTCATCTGTCATCTACACCCGATTATCCTTGACACACTCACACCTTACACTGCAAAAACATAAAATGTCACCAAGCATTTTTAGACTAGTTTCTATGGGCAAATATCTCATTACAAAACTAACTTGCTAGTAACTTTTCATCAAGACGTAGGCGCTTGTTTTAAGTCAATAATTCCTTACTGAATGGATTATTTTCTTAAAACAAGCTCCTACATCTCGCTTAAATGTTGCTTGAGTTAGTTTTTTCTTATCTGAAGTGTACCATAGAAACTAGACCCAAAATACTTTGTGATATTTTGAGATTTTTCAGTGTTTTGGTAGAATCAGACATTTCATTTTCATAAAATACAAAGAACAGCAGCACAACTGAAAGATCAGAAAAACAATCAAAACACCGCAAAAACACAAAAGGTTACCCAGTATGTCTGGTCTAGATTCTGGTGCAAATATCTTAGTACACTTGAAATGAGACAAAACTAACTTTTCAGAAACATTAAGAAAATAGTTCCTTAATATAGATGAAAAAAATACTGGTTCCACTGGCAGATTATTTCAGTTATTTTCATGGAAAAATGTCTTCTTAAAAGTGAATTTATCTGCCAAGGGAACCAGTATTTTTTCCATCAATATTAAGGAATTATTTACGTAAAACAAGCTCAGATTTCTTGCTGTGATGTTACTTGTAAGTTGGCTTTGTCTTTTTTCAAGTATACTAAGATATTTGCACCAGAAACTAGAGTAAAAATACTTGGTAAGGTTTTGTGTTTTTACAGTGCGTATAGCATCGAAGCAGCTCTTTGTTGTTACACATCCTGATTTTAGTGATTACTGTAACTCAATAAATCTAACTCAAACCATTTCTCTGATTTCCCGGCCCTCACCCTGACGGTTTAATGTTTCTCCAGATGTGACAAATTAACTTTTTATGATTTACACGGCGCACTCAGGCAAACAGGAACTCCTTAAAGCTGCAGGATCTGTGACCTCTCGTAAACTTTACTGCCAGGTACAACAACTTTGACGTTTTAACGGTGCTGCTGTTCCAAAGCCAACACCGGGGGCCGTTTCGGACTAGAACCGCAGCTGATAGAGACGGGGAAAAAAAAAATCACGTTTGATCCTCTTACGTGTCAATCCGGGCTGCAGCCGTCGGATGAAACGAACACGACCGGGTGTGTTTACTACCGATTTAATCTGCTTATCCTGACGTGATGCTGCACGTTTCTGTGCCAAACGCTTCAGTTTAGCACAAACAGAAACATTCTGGGGGTTTTACTGAAAATGAGACAAAGCATTACACACAACCAGATGGATGATTTTAACTCTTAGTTGGCCTGTCAGAATAACTAGTATAAACAGTCACAGATGTTATTGCAATAAACGATAATATTATTTACAGACTATTTTTGAAGTAATATAATGCTAGTGGCATAATAATAATGCAAGAACACATTCTGAAAGACCAATAAATGTTCATTAAAACTTAAAAATTGAGCTTGTTTTAATTCAGAATGTGAATAATTGATTAATTGATTTATTGTCAACCTTTCAGAAGATTTTTTTTATTTATTTTTAGAAGAGATTGTACCCATCAGGCTTCTTTGGTTTGAACTGCTGATTACAGTTTTGACCAGTTCTGACCAAAACCTTCACTGTCCATTTTTAAAACCCGTCTCAAAACTTTTTACCCAACTGAGAGTTGATATTACTTAATCTTTATTGGTATTGATTTTATCTGTTTAATTGCGTCGTTGTGGTTTGATCCGAGTTCCTGAACATGCAGCTGTTACCAGTTCCTCTTAATTATAACCAGCCTTCCTCGTTATCTGCCGTCTAAATGAGTGTCGGTGTGTAACCTGAGCTCCGCCGGCAGCAGAACAGGCCGACACTTATCCCTCTAATGTAATTGCACTGAGTAATGGTGCCGATCCAATAACATTAATGGAGAAGGTGACTCAGTTCCTCACAGCAGCTAAAAATAGGACAGCAGAGAAGAAGCCGATGGAGGTTAAACAACGAGTCAGAAGTTTAGTCCCACCATTGGTCTGATCCGGGTTTTTTAAGAGAAAGTGTCAACAGGTTGCCAGCAGGACTCGACTGGAGGCAATTAAAATGCTCAGTGAAGTGAGACACGGGGCAGATGGTCAGGCACAAACCAGCTTGATGCACAACTGGTAACACAGGTTTCCTCTGATAAAATCTGCGCCGTCCAGAAGTCACAAAACGACTCAATCTGCAGAACATTCTGGGTTTGGCCTCAGAGACGGAGCAGAGGAGTCAGAAATGTAAGTATAATACGAATTCATAACCCAAAGAGTGTTTTCTCACCTGGGAGTCCGGCAGATTTGGTTCGATTGAGGACCAAAACATTTGTTACATTTTCAGCTGCGGCGGTTCGCCTTCACACTGCAGTCCAAAACAATCCAAACGCAAAATGTGGAACGATGAACAATTATTTCTGTTTCATCATCTTGAAGCTGTTCTTCACCCAACGCCACGCAGAGAGATCCAGAGTTTCAGATACTCGACCGGCAACATGATCAACGACTCCACAACAAAGCAAAAGGAAGAGCATTTAGAACACCGTTTGTCTCATCTGGGCACCTGTAGCGACACGGTAAAGTAGGAAACTCTGCAGCTTTTCCTCAAAGGGCAACATTACACTGCAAAAACACAAAATCTTACCAAGTATTTTCGGTTTAATTTCTAGTGCAAATATCTTTTTGCACTTAGAATAAGACAAAACTAACTTACAAGTAACTTTTCAGCAAGATATGAGAGCTTGTTTTAAGTAAATTATTCCTTAATTTTGTTGAGAAAGTACTAGTTTCTCTAGCAGATTATTTATCTCATAGCAATACATTTTGTCTGTTATTAATGAAATAATTCAACATTTGTTACATTTTCAGCTGCTGTGGTTTTCTTTCACGCTACACTGAACCAAACAAACCAAACTAATTAAAAACCTGTTCCCCTCCTGGCCTGTGGGGGCGCTGCACCAAGAACCACTGAAGGAAACGGCAAAAAAAAAAAAGAAACTTCTAAAGACACTGAGCGAAAATTCCTTCTTCACCAAATGTAAACAAAAAGAAACCGCAGTGGCATCAGATTTTAGCAGTTGCAGTATTTCTCTTTTATCTTTGGTAAATCCATTTCTCCCGCTAGCACTAAGCTAACGTGTTTGTTTTGGTTGAATTTACCCAGAATGCCCTGAATTTTAGTTCACTTCCTGCTTTTGGAGAGGTCTAACTTAAAGACTGAAGTATTGGCTGAAGATGAACTAGAATCATTCTAATTTTTAAATATTGTAATTATTTTAACTGTAATTTTAAGTACTTTGATTTACTGTTGATCATAATTTTAATTGAATATAATATTAAAGGTCTTTTTAGGAGCAAGTGTTGCTAATTAGCTATGGCTGTATACATTGTGATGCAGAAAGTATTGTTTTGCTCTATGTTTTTGTATCTGTCCCTATCAAATAACAATGATTACTATTACCATTGCTCTGGTCCGCTTTGCATTCACATATGCATTGAAACTGCACCAGAGTTCACTTCAACTGAACCGAGACTGAGGTTAGCAGATGGACCAGCATTCGCTTTTTTCATCCACACCAGAGTTTACACTGCAAAAACTAAATCTTACCAAGTATTTTTGGTTTAGTTTCTAGTATAAATATTTTATTACGCTTGAAATAAAATAAAACAAACTAAAAAGTAACTTTTCAACATCATATGTGAGCTTGTTTTAAGTCAATAATTCCTTACTATTGATGAAAAAGTTGTAGTTCCATTGGCAGATTATTTTACATATAGCATGATATCTTTCCCATGTTATAAAGTGGCATAATCTACCAATGGGATTAGTACTTGTTCATCAATATTAAAGAACTATTGACTCAAAACAGATATTATATCTTGCTGACTTTTAGTTTCATGAATGCCTGATATTATGCACTTAGACAACACAAAATCTTGATTTAAAACAACAAATATATCAAACTGTAAAGTTACTTTTCGGTTAGTTTTGTCTTATTTCAAGTGCACCAAGATATTTGCACTAGAAACTCGACCAAAAATACTTGATAAACTTCTGGTTAATAAGTTTTGGTTTTGGCTCATATTTCTTGCTGAAAAGTTACTTGTAAGTGTAACAAGATATTTACACTAGAAACTACATAGAGATACTTGGTTCGTTATTGTGTTTTTACAGTGTAGATGGTAGAAACCTGAACGTGGTTCTGAAATAAATAAAGCAGACTAATCGAAAGTTTCTCAGACGGTTCCTAAATGTCAGCTGTTCTTGAATTTGACCCTGAACTGAGGAGTTTTCCAGATCCCAGGGCGTGTTGCAGCCTGCAGCCGCCTCTCAAACAGAACCATTTTCCAGAGCCTGCTTTATGTTAAAAGTTAACCCAGTTCTGGTTGGTTCGGCCCGGTGTGGGCAGCTATTTACAGCTTCGTGTTTTCTCTGTGCCACGCTGGGAATGAGCTTTAGATAACAGATGTTTCTGCGTGGAGAGCAGCTGCAGCTTCCAGCAGGCCCTCATGCTGCTCCACGCACAACATCCATCAGAACCACACGAGCTGCGTCACATTAAGTGTCCCGTCATGACAGAACCGAGCCGGTCTGCAGCCTGCACCAGAACCTGTCCCCATCATCATCAGCATCTCTGTTATCAGCTGCCCGGGTTATCAGCGCTGATACCCGGGTATCTGCGGCCGCTCGGCCTCCGCTGAATGAAAGCCCCGGTCTCTCCAAAACAAAACAGATTACCGCGAACAAAACCAGCGGGAAAACAAGCGGCATCACCCGCTTACCTGGGGAGTAGAGCCGCGCCAGCTGCCGGGCCCCGGCGTGCTGCGGCCCCCAGCGAGGCGCCGCGCTGCGGGCAGCCGCCCCATGCTCGTTCCCGTTCGGATCCTCCTCCGCCATGGACCGGTGCCTGATGTCGGTCTCCGAGAGAAGCGACGCCGCCATCGCCGCTGACCGCTGTCCCTCCTCTGGTTTGGGCTTTCAGCGAGCAGACATGAACCGGGCCAGCTTATCGGCTGCTGGTTCGGTTCCGTGTCCGGGCCTCCGGAGCTGTTTGACGCTGACTTAGCAGGAGGAAGGAGGCTGGAGCAGGTGATGGCAACTCGGCAGCAGAACCCGGAAACGCTGTGCTGACACACAGACCTACTTTTAACCAACCACCAACCGCTGCTTTAATGTTTAACTGGAAAACTGAAATACTTCAAAATGCTCCTTCATGTGAAGGAGTGAAGCGTTTCCATTTAATTAAACAAAATCACACTTAAACTGGCGGAGAAGTGTTATCTTAGGGACCGTCTGCAAATTACCTTCATCATAAAAAGTGGTAAACTTAGCTAAAAATAACAGTAATCTCAGTTATGGAGATAAAAACCTGAATATTACAGATAGAAAGAAAACTCACAAAGTTAGAAAGTTTCCACAAAAAAATCTAGAAAAAAAAGAAACATTTCTGATTTTGAAAAGTCAAAACTTTGCTAAAAAGACTCAGACATTTTTGGATCAGTCTCAGAATTTTTCTAGAAAAAGTCAGCAAATGTCTGAATTTTAAAACAAAAAGAATTGCTACCAGAGATTTATCTCAGAAAAAAAACAAGTTCGAAAAGTCAAAAATTTACAAGAAAAATATTCAGAATTTCTTTGATAAATCCCAAAAAAATGTCCAGAAAAAATTTTCCTAGAAAACTTTTAAAAAAATTCTAGAAAATCAAGAACATTTGGGGTTTGAAATATCAGAAAAAATTGCTAGAAAAATATTCAGAAATTTTTAGATCCATCCAAGAAGTAGCAAAGAAATTACAGAATTTTAAAACTAGAAAATTTGCTAGAAAAAAAATTTTTTTAGAGTTGTCTCAGAAATCTTTGAGAAAACATTAAAAATGTCTGAGTCTGAAAAGTTGAAAATTCACAAGAAAAATATGCAGAATTTTTTAGATCAGTAAAAAAAGCATGGACATGTCTGAATTTTAAAATTCAAAAGGAATATCGCGTTTTTTGATTAAACAAAACAAAAGTTCAACTAGCTGGAAATTTGGTCTTAGAAACCATTTGAAAATTATTTTTATGTTAGAAAGGAAAGTTAGCTGAAAATAAACATCAATCTCAGTTTTGGAAATAAAAACCTGACTATGGCATAAGAGCAATTGTAGATAGAAAAATTTTTTAATTTTCCACCCAAAATTGTATTAAAACTTTTCTAGAAAAAAAAAAGAGATTTCTGAGCTTTAAAAAGCAGAAATTTGGAGATTCATCTCAGAAAGAAAATCCAGGAAAAAAATTAGTTATTTAAAAAAAAAAATAATGACATCACATATATAAAAAAAAATAAAATCTTTTGTTTCCGAATATAACCAGATGGTCGTTGTTATATTGTAATCATGATACTTGACCTAAAATCTTGATTAACTCTAAGTAATGACAGGTTTGATATTTTCAGTTTGATTTTGTCATCAGAACCATGTTATTCTGTTGTCTAGACCCAAATAGCTAAATATGTTGAGTCACTGGAATCGTATGAAACTAAACAGAGAACTGAGGAAAACGACTGGAAACAAATTTATGTTTCTCCGTCCAGACATGCTGCATCGTGGCAAAGTGAGGCGGTGACCTTATGAAAGAAATCTTTGTTGTTTCAGAGGCAGAACCGCCGCAGAGCGGAGGACAAACGTTTCTGTGTTGCTGCTCAGCAGAAATAAACATCAGAATCTGATTGGTCACAACTTAAACAAACAGCTTAATGCACGCCCATTTAATAAGGAAGGGCAGAGTTTCTTCTGAGTATCTTTAAGAAATAATTTCTTTTGAAGCTACTTGGATCCTCCGATGATCATGATCAGGGCCGGCCCAAGGCATATACGAGTTAAGCTTCTGATTAGGGCCTCCACACCACCAGAGGGCTCCCAAGAGCATCAAGCTAGCATAATTATATATACAGTAACATTGAATAATGCAAACAATTTGTATATTGTTTTTATAGTTGGTACAGAGATTAATCTCTTCCTGTTGTCTGCTGCCGCTGTTTTGGAAATATAAGATCAATCAATCAATCAAATTTTATTTGTATAGCACATTTCAGAAGCAAAGCATTTCAAAGTGCTTTACATAATTAAAATGCAAACAGCATGTGACATAGAATAAACAGTGAGAAAGAGAAAGAGGTTTTGAAAAAGATTAAAACAGATAAAAACATTAAAACCCCTTTTAGGAGTTCAGTTAAACGTCGTTTAACTGGGGCTCAAACCCTCTGGGACTTTAGTCAAAACCACCGTTTGACAAGGACTCCAACCTCTAGGTTTTTAGTTGAAACGCCGTCAACTGGGACTCTTGTTCCCAGACTCTCAACTGGGATATCAAACCTATTAACTTCTTTACTATAAATTTACTACTTATCAGCTGATGTTAATTTCAAATAATTTTATACCACATTTAATACCACTTTGCATCTCCAAATCCACATTCTTTTGATTTAGCTGCTCTTGTAATGCCAAAATCAGCAGCTGTAATAACACTGGCATGATGTAAGCTAATAAAAAGTAACATTAATGACCCAGGCATGTTTCACAGATAGATTAGCTCAATAATGATGAAGCATCTGGTGTTGAAATGTTGCTATGGGGGGCCCCAAAAGAAACTCTGCTTAGGGCCCCAAAAAGGCTTTGGCCGGCCCTGATCATTAGCATTTATTAGCTTTGGGTGTTTGGACAAATGCCTATTCAGCTCTAAAGTAAAAGAATATTTCAATATTTTCAAATAATCTGGACTACATTGAATAAAATCTGGTTTAAAATCTAAAGTATTAAAACTGGTCAAACCCAGATTGGATCATTCAGTGTTGATTTAGTTTCATTACACAGTTTGTGTCACGTGGAGAAGTTGGTGGTGGCGAGGAGAGACGCTGAGACCCAGGTTGTAGAAAAAAATGATGAATTTAATGAAGAGTGTACACTGTAAAAAAAATTCTGTTGTTTTTACAAAAAAAATCTGGCAGCTGTGGTTGCCAGAATAATTCTGTAGAAAACACAGTGA